GAAGAGGAGGGGGAAGAGGAGGAGGAAGAGGAGGGAGGAAGAGGGGAAGAGAGAAGAGAAGGGGGGGAAGAGGAGGTGGAAGGAAGAAGAGGAGGGAAAGGAGGAAGAGGAGGGGTGGGAAGAGGAGGGGTGGGAAGAGGAGGGGGGAAGATGAGGGGTGGAAGAGAGGGGGAAGAGGAGGGGTGGAAGAGAGGAAGAGGAGGGGTGGAAGAGGAGGGGAAAGAGGGGTGGGGAAGAGGAGGGAAGAGGAGGGGAAGGAAGAGAGGGTGGTGAAGAGGAGGGGTGGGAGAGAGGGGAGACGAAGATAATAAATTTGTATAATACATGTTTAGGCTGCCGAACCACCATATATATTTTCACTAATACCACTATATTGAGGTAAGTACATGTTCCCTGTTATACTGGTACCCCACGCAACTATGGGTGGTACAATGTTCCCTGTTATATTGGTACCCCGTCAGCAATCTGGGTGGTACAATGTTCCCCTGTTATATTGGTACCCCGTCAGCAACTATGGTGGTACAATGTTTCCCTGCTATATTGGTACCCCGTCCGGCAACTATGGGTGGTACAATGTTTCCCTGTTATATTGGTACCCCGTCAGCAACTATGGGTGGTACAATGTTCCCTTATATTGGTACCCGTCAGCAACTATGGGTGGTACAATGTTTCCCTGTTATATTGGTACCCCGTCAGCAACTATGGGTGGTACAATGTTTCCTGTTATATTGGTACCCGTCAGCAACTATGGATGGTACAATGTTCCTATATTGGTACCACCGTACAATGGTATAAATGTACATCTCGTTTGGTAAATCGGGGACACAATAAGTAAATCTTTGGTAAATCGGGGAGACAATAAGTAATTATTAGGTAAATCGGGAGACAATAAGTAAATCTTTGGTAAATCGGGGAGACAATAAGTAAATCTTTGGTAAATCGGAGACAATAAGTAAATATTAGGTAAATCGGGAGACAATAAGTAAATATTAGGTAAATGGGAGACAATAAGTAAATATTAGGTAAATCGGGAGACAATAAGTAAATATTTGGTAAATCGGGGAGACAATAAGTAAATATTAGGTAAATCAGGAGACAATAAGTAAATATTAGGTAAATCGGGGAGACAATAAGTAAATATTAGGTAAATCGGGGAGACAATAAGTAAATATTAGGTAAATCGGGGAGACAATAAGTAAATATTAGGTAAATCGGGGAGACAATAAGTAAATATTAGGTAAATCCGGGGAGACAATAAGTAAATATTAGGTAAATCGGGAGACAATAAGTAAATATTAGGTAAATCGGAGACAACAAAGTAAATATTAGGTAAATCGGGGAGACAATAAGTAAATCTTTGGTAAATCGGGAGACAATAAGTAAATCTTTGGTAAATCAGGGAGACAATAAGTAAATCTTTGGTAAATCAGGAGACAATAAGTAAATATTTGGTAAATCGGGGAGACAATAAGTAAATCTTTGGTAAATCGGGGAGACAATAAGTAAATCTTTGGTAAATCGGAGACAATAAGTAAATCTTTGGTAAATCGGGGAGACAATAAGTAAATCTTTGGTAAATCGGGGAGACAATAAGTAAATCTTTGGTAAATCGGGGAGACCTAATAGACGTCCCATTAAATAAAGATACTGAACCATTAAGCCTTAAAGCACAAGAGAGTTTTGAGGCCAAATAAGAATAGTTTTAGTTCATATTGATAAAATTTGATGTTGATGACTTTATATAGCACCTCTGTCTGTCTATCTGTCTATAGTTCTGTCTATATGTGTCTCTCTCTCTCTCATTCTGTCTCTCTCTCTCTCATTCTGTCTCTCTCTCTCATTCCTCTCTCTCTCTCTCTCTCTTTCTCTCATTTGAATATAAGTTGAGAATCTGTCCAAATAAAGTAATATTTTTTATATTAACAATTTAGATGACTACCTTCCCTCCCCTCCCCCCCTCCACTCCTTCCTTCCTCCCCCCTCCCTCCACTCCTTCCCCCTCCCCCCCCTCCCTCCACTCCTTCCCCTCTCCCCCTCCCTCCACCTTCCCTCCCCTCCCTCCTCCCTCCCCACCGCGCATGTACCTCCATCTCTTATGTTATTGATCTTCTACCTGAACACCTTCCCTCCCTCCTTCCCTCCCTCCCTCTCAACCATTTCCTCCCTTCTATTCCTCCTTCAATCCATCCTCCTTCCCTTCCTTCCCTCCCCCTACCCCTCCTTCACACTCCTCTTCCCTCCGCCTTTCTCTCCTTCGATCGTAAACTCTCTCTCTCTCTCTCTCTCTCTCTCTCTCTCTCTCTCTCTCTCTCTCTCTCTCTCCTATACCGGTGTGTGTGTGTGTGTGTGTGTGTGTGTGTGTGTGTGTTAAAATAGGTTCAGGTTAAGTTAGATAGGACCTTCCACACACACACACCACCATACACACATGCCCCATACACACTCCTACTCTCCCAACACTCTCCCCACCTCTCTACCTCTCTCAACACTCTACTCTCCCAACACTCTCTCAACACTCTCCCAACACTCTCCCAACACTCTCTCCAACACTCTCTCACCTCTCCCCTCACTCTCCCAACACTCTCCCAACACTCTTCCCTCTCCCAACACTCTCCCAACCCTCTCCCAACGCTCTCCCAACCTCTCCCCAACACTCTCCCCAACACTCTCCCAACACTCTCCCCCTACTCCTCCAACACTCTCCCAACACTCTCCCAACACTCTCTCCTCTCCCAACACTCTCTCTCCCAACACTCTCCCAACACTCTCTCAACACTCTCTACTCTCTCCAACACTCTCTCCAACACTCTCCCAACACTCTCCAACACTCCCCAACACTCTCTCCTATACTCTCACTCTCCCCCAACCTCTTCCCCTTACTCTCCAACACTCTCCCAACACTCTCCCAACACTCTCTCTCCCTTCTCCCTTCTCTCCCTCTCCCAACACTCTCAACACTCTCAACACTCTCCCAACACTCTCCTTCCTCTCCCAACACTCTCCATCACTCTCCCAACCTCTCCACTCTCTCAACACTCCCCACCTCTCCCAACACTCTCCCCACTCTCCAACACTCTCCCAACACTCTCCAACACTCTCTACCTCTCCCAACACTCTCTCCAACACTCTCCCTCTCAACACTCTCCCAACCTCTCCCCACTCTCCCCTCTCTCAACCTCTCCCAACACTCTCCCAACACTCTCCCAACACTCACCCCCACTCTCCCAACACTCTCTCAACACTCTCCCCTCCAACACTCTCCCCTAACACTCTCCCAACACTCTCCCAACACTCTCCCAACACTCTCTCAACACTCTCCCAACACTCTCTCAACACTCTCCCAACACTCTCCCAACACTCTCTCAACACTCTCCCCAACACTCTCTCAACACTCTCCCAACACTCTCCCAACACTCTCCCAACACTCTCTCAACACTCTCTCAACACTCTCCCAACACTCTCTCCAAACTCTCTCAACACTCTCTCAACACTCTCCAACACTCTCTCCTTGCCTCTCCCAACACTCTCAACACTCTCCCAACACTCTCCCAACACTCTCCCAACACTCTCTCAACACTCTCCCAACGCTCTCTCAACACTCTCCCAACACTCTCTCAACAGTCTCCCAACACTCCCCAACACTCTCCAACACTCCTCCCAACACTCTCCCAACACTCTCTCAACACTCTCCTAACACTCTCTCAACACTCTCTCCAACACTCTCCCTTTCTCAACACTCTCCCTAACACTCTTCAACACTCTCCCAACACTCTCTCAACAGTCTCTCAATACTCTCCCAACACTCTCCCCAACACTCTCTCAACACTCTCTCCCTCTCCTCAACACTCTCCCTAACACTCTCCCAACACTCTCTCAACACTCCGCCTCTCCCAACACTCTCCCAACACTCTCCCAACACTCTCCTAACCTCTCCCAACACTCTCCCTACCACTCTCTCCTCCCCAACACTCTCAACAGTCCAACACTCTCCCAACACTCTCTCAACACTCTCCCAACACTCTCTAACCTCTCTCAACACTCTCTCAACACTGTCCCAACACTCTCCCAACACTCTCCTAACACTCTCCCAACACTCTCTCAACACTCTCCAACACTCTCCCAACCTCTCCCTAACACTCTCCCAACACTCTCTACTCTCTCACACTCTCTCAACACTCTCCCAACACTCTCAACACTCTCCCAACACTCTCCCCTCTCCCAACCTCCTAACACTCCCCAACCTCCCAACATTCTCCCCCCTCTCCCAACCTCTCCCAACACTCTCCCAACACTCTCCACACTCTCCCAACACTCTCCCATCTCCCAACACTCTCCAACACTCTCCCAACACTCTCCTACAGTCTCCCAACACTCTCTCAACACTCCCAACACAGTCTCTCAACAGTCTCTCAACAGTCTCTACTCTCCCAACACTCTCCCAACCTCTCCCAACACTCTCCCAACAGTTTCAACACTCTCCCAACAGTCTCTCAACAGTCTCTCAACAGTCTCTCAACAGTCTCCCAACACTCTCAACACTCTCCCAACACTCTCTCAACACTCTTCTAACACTCTCTCAACACTCTCCCAACACTCTCCAACCTCTCAACACTCCTCAACACTCTCCCAACCTCTCCTCAACACTCTCCCAACACTCTCTCAACACTCCTCCCAACACTCTCCCAGCCTCTCTCCAACACTCTCAACACTCCTGCCTCTCCCTAACACTCTCCCAACACTCCTAACACTCTCCCTAACACTCTCCCAACACTCTCCCAACACTCTCCCAACACTCCCAACACTCTCCCAACCTCTCCCAACACTTCTCTACCTCTCCCAACACTCTCCCAACACTCCCAACACTCTCCCTACGTCTCCCAACACTCTCTCAACACTCTCCCAACAGTCTCTCAACAGTCTCTCCAACAGTCTCCCAACACTCTCCCAACACTCCCAACACTCTCCCAACACTCTCCACTCTCCCAACACTCTCCCAACAGTCTCTCAACACTCTCCCAACAGTCTCAACAGTCTCTCAACAGTCTCCCAACCGCAGTCCCAACAGTCTCTCAACAGTCTCTCAACTCTCCCAACAGTATCCCAACAGTCTCAACAGTCTCTCAACACTCTCCCAACAGTCTCCCAACAGTCTCCCCCAGCCTCTCAACACTCTCCCAACAGTCCCAACAGTCTCTCAACACTCTCTCAACACTCTCCCAACAGTCTCCCAACAGTCTTCCAATAGTCTCTCGCACTCTCCCAACAGTCTCCCAACAGTCTCTCCATTCTCAACAGTCTCTCAAGTCTCCCCAACTCTCCCAACAGTCTCTCAACAGTCTCTCAACAGTCTCCTTGCTCTCCCCAGCCTCTCCCAACAGTCTCACAACAGTCTCTCAACAGTCTCTCAACAGTCTCTCAACAGTCTCCAACAGTCTCTCAACAGTCTCAACAGTCTCTCAACAGTCTCTCAACAGTCTCTCAACAGTCTCCCGGTCTCCAACAGTCTCCCAACAGTCTCAACAGCCTCTCAACAGTCCCCCAACAGTCTTCCAATAGTCTCTCAACACTCTCCCAACAGTCTCTCAACAGTCTCCCAACAGTCTCTCAACAGTCTCAACAGTCTCTCAACAGTCTCCCAACACTCTCCCAACAGTCTCTCAACAGTCTCTCAGCAGTCTCCCAACCTCTCCCCACTCTCCCAACAGTCCCACAACAGTCTCAACAGTCTCTCAACAGTCTCTCAACAGTCTCTCAACAGTCTCTCAACAGTCTCTCCACAGTGCCTCTCTCAACAGTCTCTCAACAGTCTCTCCAACAGTCTCCAGCAGTCTCTCAATAGTCTCTCAATAGTCTCTCAACAGTCTCTCAATAGTCTCTCAACAGTCTCTCAACAGTCCCAACAGTCTCAACAGTCTCTCAACAGTCTCTCAACAGTCTCTCAACAGTCTCTCAATAGTCTCTGAACAGTCTCTCAACAGTCTCTCAACAGTCTCAACAGTCTCTCAACAGTCTCCCAACAGTCTCAACAGTCTCTCAACAGTCTCCAGCCTCCCAACAGTCTCTCAACAGTCTCCAACAGTCTCCCAACACTCTCCCAACACTCTCTCAACAGTCTCTCAACAGTCTCCCAACAGTCTCTCAACAGTCTCTCCAACAGTCTCCCAACAGTCTCCAACAGTCTCTCAACAGTCTCTCAACAGTCTCAACAGTCTCTCAACAGTCTCAGCAGTCTCCAACAGTCTCCCAACAGTCTCTCAACAGTCTCAACAGTCTCAGTCTCCCAACAGTCTCTCCAACAGTCTCTCAACAGTCTCCAACAGTTTCCCAACAGTCTCCCAATAGTCTCCACAGTCTCCCAACAGTCTCTCAACAGTCTCTCAACAGTCTCTCAACAGTCTCTCACATCACTATACAATATAATAAACAGTGTTTTAGTTATCAAGATCTGGGTGAACGACTCGAGGGTACTTAGGTCTGCTGGAGTGTGTTGGAGTGTGTTGGAGTGTGTTGTGATGTGTTGTGATGTGTTGCGATGTTGGGGTGTGTTCAGTGTGTTGTGGTGTGGGGTGTGTGGGAGTGTGTTGAGTGTGTTGAGTGTGTTGGTGTGTTGAGAATGTGTTGGTGTTGGGGTGTGTTGAGGTGTGGGGTGTGTGTTGAGGTGTGTTGGGGTGTGTTGGGAGAATGGTGTGTTAGTGTGTTGGGGTGTGTTGGGGGTGTGAGGTGTGTTGGTGTGTTGAGTGTGTTGGAGTGTGTTGGGGTGTGTTGGTGTGTTGAGTGTGTTGAGGTGTTGGGGTGTGTTGAGTGTGTTGGTGTTTGGGGGTGGTGGTAGGGTGTGTTTGAGTGTGTTGGGGTGTTAGGGTGTGTTGGAGTGTGTTGGGAGTGTGTTGGGGTGTGTTGGTGTGTGTTGGAGTGTGTTGAGGTGTGTTAGAGGTGTGTTGGGGTGTGTTGAGTGTGTATGCGTGTTGGGGTGTGTGTGTGTATTGGGGTGTTGGAGGGTGTGGTAGTGTGTGTTAGATGTGTGTTGGTGTGTGTGATGTGGAGTGTGTTGGAGTGTGTTGAGGTGTGTTGAGAGTGTTAGAGTAGAATGTGTTGGGGTGTGTTATGATGTGTTAGAGTGTGTTGGAGTGTGTGTGGTGTGTTAGGGTGTGTTGGGGGTGGTTGGGAGTGTGTTGAGTGTGTTGAGTGTGTGTTGGGGTGTGTTGGAGTGTAGGGTATGTTAAGTGTGTTGGAGTATGTTGGAGTGCGTTGGAAGTGTTACAGTGTGTTAGTATGTGTGTGTTGGGGTGTGTTAAAGGTGTTGGGGTGTGTTAGAGTGTGTTGGAGTGTGTTAGGTGCGTTAGGTGTGTGATGTGGGATGTGGGTTTGTAAGTGCGTTGGGTGTGTGCAGTCTGTTAGTATGTGTGTGTTGGGGGTGTGTTAGAAGTGTGTTGGGGTATGTTTAGAGGTGTGTGGAGTGTGTTAGGGTGCGTTAGTGTGTTAGGGGTGTGTTAGAGTGTGTTGGAGTGTGTTAGAGTGCGTTGGAGTGTGTTAGGGGTGTAGTAGAGGTGTTGGGTGTATTGTGTGGAGTGTGTTACAGTTGTGTGTTGGGTGTGAAGAGTGTGTTAGGGTGCGTTGGATGTGTTGAAGTGTAGTGTGTGTTAGGGTGTGTTGGATTGTGTTAGGGTGCGTTGGGTGTGTTAGAGTGTGTTAGTGTGTGTTGGGTGAACCAGAAGTGTTGGGGTGTGTTAGAGTGTGTTGGAGTGTGTTAGAGTGCGTTGGAGTGTGTTGGGGTGTGTTAGATGTGGAGAGTGTGTTAGGTCTTGGGTGTGTTGCAGTGTGTTAGTATGTGTGTGTTGGGGTGTGTTAGAGTGTGTTGGGGTGTGTTAAGTGTGTTGGAGTGTGTTAGGGTGCGTTGGAGTGTGTTGGGGGTGTGTTAGAGTGTGTTGAGTGTGTTAAGGTGCGTTGGAGTGTGTTGGGGTGTTGGAGTGTGTTGGGGTGTGTTGAGTGTGTTGGAGTGTGTTGGAGTGCGTTGAGTGTGTTACAGTGTGTGTGTGTGTTGGGGGTGTGTTGGAGTGTTAGGGGTGCGTTGGAGTGTGTTAGTGTGTGTGTGTGTGTTGGGGTGTGTTAGGTGTGTTAGGAGTGCGTTGGAGTGTGTTACAGTGTGTGTGTGTTGGGGTGTGTTGGAGTGTGTTAGGGTGCGTTGGAGGTGTGTTACAGTGTGTTGGTGTGTGTGTGTGTTGGTGTGTTACAGTGTGTTAGTGTGTGTGTGTTGGGGTGTGTTAGAGTGTGTTGGGGTGTGTTAGGTGTGTTGGAGTGTGTTAGGGTGCGTTGGAGTGTGTTACAGTGTGTTAGAGTGTGTTGGAGTGTGTTAGGGTGCGTTGGTGTGTTACAGTGTGTTAGTGTGTGTGTGTTGGTGTGTTAGAGTGTGTTGGGGTGTGTTAAGTGTGTTGGAGGTGTGTGGGTGCGTTGGAGTGTGTTGGGGTGTGGTAGAGTGTGTTGGGTGTGTTAGGGTGCGTTGGAGTGTGTTGGGGTGTGTTAGAGTGTGTTGGAGGTGTTAGGGTGCATTGAGGTGTGTTACAGTGTGTTGGAGTGTGTGGAGTGTGTTGGGTGCAGAGAGTGTGAAGGGTGTGTGTGTGTGTTAGAGTGTGTTGGATGTGCTGGGGTGTGTTAGAGTGTGTGGGGTGTGTTAAGAGTGTGTTGGAATTGTGGGGTGCGTTGGGTGTGTTAGGGTGCGTTGGGTGTGTTTCAGTGTGTGTGTGTTGGGTGTGTTGGGTGTGTTGGGGTGTGTTAGAGTGTGTAGGAGTGTGTTAGGGTGCGTTGGAGTGTGTTAGGGTGTGTTAGAATGTGTTGGGGTGTGTTGGGGCACTGCAATTGTATCTCTCCCTTCTACCATATATCCTTTCCCTGTCACCCCCCCTTGTCTCGCTCTATCCTCTCCTTTACTCACTCCCTCTCCTCTTTCATTCTCTCTCCCTCCTCACCTTCTCTCTCTCTCTCTCTCTCCTACCCCCTCCCCTCCCTCCCCACCCCTCCTCCTCCTCCCCCCACCCCTCCCTCCTCCTCCCCCCCACCTCCTCCCTCACTCCCCCCACACCCTCCCCCCTCACCTGCCCCCTACCCTCCCTCCCTTCAATGCTCCACACACACTGAGGGTGGAACAACACACAGGAGAGATCTTCCCACTCATGAGTGGAGTCCCTCAAGGCAGCGTCCTCTCCCCCACCCTATATATTATCTACATAAGTCACACCGTCCCTTCACTAGAACAGGTAACGAAGGTATTATGTATGCAGATGATATCACTCAACAACGACACATCAAGGAAAACCATGAGCACTACAGGTCGACAATACCAAGCGGGAATTTATTAATATAAATAATTAAGAAAAAATAAGGAAAATCCAAACCAGTCTCCAGAAATCCACAGTAATACCCTTATGCAGAAGGAAAACCCATCCATTAGTAACCAACAATGGCCAGATAGAACACAATAGCAGAGGCCCTCCTGGGCTGCATATATCCACGACAGGTTACTCATCATGTCCATACCAGGAAGGAAAAGGCAAGAAAGCGCTGAAAAACTACATAACAGCTCACTCTGGTGACATCACTTATCATACCGATATTAAACACAGCAATACCTCTTATGAGCACTACCTAATTATTAAAATTACAGGTGGTCCAAATAAACTAAGATTCGTCACAGGTGAAAGATACCCCTTCACCAGAACCACAGCCGAGATACATAGAGACCTGAGAATGAAACCCTCAACCAGCAGCTGAACACCCGGCCAGCAGAGTCTGAAAAGATAGAACGATCAGAGCAAGAACTTCTTCAATGACTCCGCCAGATAACGACAACAACCATACACGGTTCCCAAAAGTTACCAAATCTCAAGGTCCATACACCCGATCTGCGGCCAGGCAATAGACAACCTACCTGACCAGCATCTGCCAGTTGGGTCGGCCCTTAAAACACTCATATATGGGATGGGTAGGCTGTCTAGTGCCTGTACCGACAGACAATAACTAACCCATGACTACCCCAATACACTATTAAAGCAGCTAACACAAGGATCAGCCTCCCCTGTTCTGCCTCATTTCTTCAATTTTCGAACTATAACTTCCTTCCCCACCTCTAATCTTCTCTCTGAAAAAACCCTCCCCCTTACTCACCACACCTCCCCACTACCACCACACGAACACCCCCTCCCCACTCCCACCCCCCTCCCTCCTTCCCTCACTCCCCACCACGCCCCTCCTCCACACCCTCTCATTCCCCACCCAACACCCCCTCCCTCTCCTCCGTCTCCCCACACCTCCCTCACTCCCCCACACACCTCTCCTCTCTCCCTCACCCTCCTCCCACCCTGCACAAGAAACCTAGTGATGAAGGCGGCGGAATACGTGTCTGGGAAAATTGGTCGGGCGATGGTGGTGAAACTTGACACAGTCGAGGAAATTTGTCCAGATCGAGTAACTTGACACAGCGATGATGCAGATACCGGCCACCACTTATTGCGCTCTCTCTCCCCCCCCCCCCTCTCTCTCTCTCTCCGTGGTAATCATTAAGTGTTAAGTGTGTGATCAGTACACAGTGTTAAGTAAGGTTTTAAGTGTTAAAATCAGTGTTAAGTGTTTTCTTATTAAATGTTAAACTTAAGGTTAAACTTTACGTCGAGTGACCTCTACGGTCAAAGTCAGAGGTTAATAATATATAACCCCCTCCCAAGGACCTGTGTTGTACCTGCAACAACTGTTATACTGACAGGTGACAACTGTTATATTGAATTGAATTAAACAGTTTATTTAGCCCAAAAACACAGATACAAGTGGACAATATTAACATGGCTGAGCCAGTTGAGAACCTGAGCTGCACCTTATATACTATACATCTCAAGGAAGTATTAACATTTAGTATCATCTGGAAATAGTACAATAGCATTGGTAATAAGAACATGTTACCACGGTTATCACTTCAATG